AGTTCTTTTCTGGGGAGCTCTGGCTGTAGCTTTGAGTGTCACTTGCTGTCTCCAGTGCAGATCCTTCAGCCTGCTGGTGCAGACTTTATAGCTTCTACCTTTGGGCCTTCCTAGTGTACATCTTTGAAACAGACTTGCATGAGGCATTGTCCTGGGATCTAGGCCTCCAGTTGGACTCGTGAGGGCCATTGTCATGGGCTCTAGGTCTTTAGCTGGATTCGTGCAGGACATTGCCATGGGATCCAGGCCCTCAGCTGGAGTCTTTAGGTCTGTAGTATGTGGACAGATCTCCTACACTCTTTGTATTTGACTCTTTGGATGAGTATTATAAAATAATCCTATAAATTATGTGTCGTGTATTAGATCCTTCTTTCCTTGTAAACCCTGACTTTAGCAGAGACCCTGCCTCAAAATAACAAGGCAAAAATGGTTGGTAGATGTAGCTCAATATGAAGGTTCTGAGTTTAATACCCAGTACTACAAACACAGGAAAAACTGTGGGGAGGGGGTCAAGTTAATGGCTTTGTTAAATAAAATATGTTTGATTTTGAGATTTATCATTCATATAAAATAAGAATGTCAGTGTCATAACCTCTAAAATACTTAAATATATTTGAAGTGACCTTTTGATATTTGGATGCTTCTTTCTTTGGATGTGGTCCATATCACAGTGTTACATTTGGTTTTCTCAGTAATCAATCTGAAGATTGACTTCAGAGGACCTCAAAAATGTGACTACAGGGTGTTCCTGAAAGGTACAACCCTGTGTTTATGCGATTGGGAAGTAAGCTGCATGTATGGTATCAGTTAGGGTTTACTAAATGTCATATGTGATATATATATATATATATTTATATGTGATATTTGTGATATATGTATGTGATATATGTATTTGTGTATATATAATGTCATATGTGATATATATATTTATATGTCATATGTGATATTTAAAGGATTTACAGAGTAGGCTTAAAATGGCTGCCTATGAAGTCAGGAGTGGAAGAATGCTAAAGGCCAGCTGCATGATAGAGAGCTGTAGGATCCAGTCAAAAAGTTGAAGGCCTGAGCTCACTGCAGAGTCTTGTGTGAGTCTGTATGGGAAAGCTGAAAGGTCTGTATTGGAAGCCTGAAAGAACTAGAGATCAATGTCCAAAGGTGATAGCAAAGAGCAGAGCTTCTGAGAAGCAAAAGGGTATATACTTCTTTCCCTTTTTATTCCATCCATTGAACAAGCCTATTGGTTGGAGCCATCCACATCCTGGCTGGGTTTTTCCTCTTCAGTTTGATGCTTATAAGCCAGTGGTCTAGACAAACCCAGATTGTGGTCCACTAATCGGCTAGGTGTTTCTTAATTAATTAATTCAATTTGATACCAATTAACTATCACAGATAAACCCAAATTTGCTAAGGCTTTTGAAAAAATTCTATATTTAATAGTCTTCAATAGAAAGTCTTTTCCATTGTTTCCTGAGGAGTTTATTGTGGTTTATATATTTAGGATTTCTCTATTGAGGTAAAAAGTAAAGGATATAATTCTACATTCTGATTTTAGAAGGAAATTTGTACCATGTAAATGATTCTAATTGAAATAACAATTCCCAGGAGTTTCCTGGCCAGAGGTCTGGAGCTGAGCTAATTCCCTCTGCTCTGCTGTTGTACCTGCGAGACAGTGGCATTTTTTTTTTTTGAAGACCAATTTTATCATAATAACTGGTATCATAAATAGAGTGAGAATCATTGTATCATGTATTCTGGAAAGTTTAGTATTGGGCAAAGTGGTTATTTAATGAGACAGATTTGTTATGATTTGTAGGTTTTCATCTCTCTCATGGTTCAAAAAATCTTATTTGGTTGTTCCAGAATCAGTTGTTTTAAAATTTTATTATACGCTTTTGCTGTGGGGTAAGTTTGAAAACCTAATTGTACCAAAGTATATCTGTGAATAGCTTTTCTGCTACTAAGGAATGAATAGTGGAGGCCTGAGCATTTCAAAGATCATTCATTTATTTTCTTCCTATTCCCCTTTTATGTTATTAAGGAAGTATGAGAAAACGTGGTGTTAGTCTTTCAGCACTAGCAGGAAAGTTGTAAAATATAGTAGAGGCATATGAAGTGTTTAAGGTTTTATATGTTGATCTTTCTTAGTCTTTTTTCATTTGCACAGTAGACATTTCTATGTTGTTATGTGTTAAAGTACATAGAAGAATGGGAAAGTTCTTTGTAAACAGTGACAGTTTTTCAGTTACCTTATTGCTAAATTGGCTGATTATAATACTAAATGGTGACATGTTTTTCCCTGACAACACGAGCTACTGACTGCCAGTGCTGGTAATATTCATGCCAAGTCATGACTTCGCCATTCTTTTCAGTTCTGTTATTTCAGATCTTTGGTAGAGCAGTTTGAAGAGTTAGATTTTGGAATAAAAATTTGAGGGTGCTTGAGGTCTATAGAAAGCCTGAGAACTGTATTGCTCCTGGCATACCATTTCATATTAGAGAGGATAGCCTGTAAGACATGTCTGCAGTTTCTCTAACTGCTTGAGAGAAAATAGAGAAAATATTTTAATTCCTACTAAGATTTTAAGTATTTTTCCCTTAAGTATACAACAGGGTGAGAGGATTGGTCCTTGTCCACATGAAATCTCAGGGTTTTGTTGTTATTGTTGTGGTTTTGGTTTATTTGAGATAGGATCTCACTATATAGTGCAGGCTGGATTTGAACTTGTTTATGTAGCCCAGGCTGGCCTCGAACTCAACGATTCTCCTGCCCCTACCTCCCAAGTTCTAGGGTTATAGGTGTGCAGGACGTCACCCAGAGAAATCTCAGTTTAAAATTGAGGTTTTAGAAATCTCCAAGTAGATGTACTGTTTTTACTCTTTTAACAGTATTATTTCCTGTATGCTTTTTCTTCTTTTCAAATCACAATTCTGGGGTAGACTTTCTGGTGATTACTGGTTACAGTGAAGAGATGGTGAATTCTGGGGTTGTGATGTATTATCTTCCATAGTTTTTTTCTCAAACCTTTGACATAAAAAGTTGTTTTTAGAAATGCAGCCTGAGGTGACAAGTGAGTCAAGTTATCACAAGTGCTTATACTGTTTAAATTCTCTTAAAGGGGCAAATACAAAACCATGGATCCTGTGGGGTTTTTTCTTAATTGCAATATCATTGTACAGTAGAAAAGCATAATTTGTCATTGAACTGCAAAAAGGTTTTGGTTTCCATTGAAATTATGGGGCACAGCAGCCATTCTTAAAATTACCTTAATTAAGATAATGACGCTTTGTTTTGTGAGTTAAGCCAATGAGATTTTGCAAGCATCTTGTTCAGTGTAATTCTTGATTCACAATTCTTGATTCTGTGTGTGTGTGTGTGTGAGAGAGAGAGAGAGAGAGAGAGAGAGATGTAATTTAAATTTAGATAACCTAGGGGAAAGTTAGATGTTTAAAATCATCTACTTTTTAGTCTTCCTTGGATAATTGGAGTATAAGGATGTATTAAAAACTGGATTTTAATCTTTCTGGAATAGACCTTTTTGGAGCTCTTTATTTAGCATTTAAATTCAAAAGATTGTGACTCTGTCTTAAAGAATGCAAAATACAGAAAAGAAAGATTTATTTTATAAATAAGGAAGAGATAACTTAGGATTTATAGTCCTGACCTGAAAAATTGTAGGTATGCTCATTCATAAGTACCATATTTTTCTTTCATTAGGTTAGTATGAATTTGGTTAGCAGTTTAAACGTAAAATAGATGTAATGGATGAATAAGAGAGGAAAAAAAGACAGTTCAGTCAGTAAGCCTGGAGAACTTATGGTGAGAATTATTTTTAGATTTGCGAAGGAAAAGCATCAGGAGACACATACTGCTATTTCAAGATTACAGTAGTCTGTAGAACCTATGTGTATCTGAAATCACTAAAAGAACAACTTAAAGCTCTCTCAAATCAGGGACTCGGTAGCCTAGTGCAGTTCAAAATAGTTTTAAGAATTTAGAAACAAGGGGCTGGGGATTTAGCTCAGCGGCACAGCGCCTGCCTGGCAAGCACGAGGTCGAGGTCGTGAGTTCGATTTCCGGCACTGGAAACTGCCCCCCTGCCCAAAAAAAAAAACCAAAGAATTTAGAAACAAGGTGATTGTAGACTGTGTGTAGTCAAGGTAGCTCTTGAGTTTGAATTAAAGAGAGCCTTGGATTGTTGCTAGGGATAAGGAGAAGGCAAATGAGATGAAGAGAGACTGTGAGAGGACTAAGAAAGTAAGCTGCTTGTAAACGGGACTCAACTCAGAATGGGGTTGACTTTTAAAATTTTATACTTGTTAACCCCAATTTAGCATTGTTTTTCCCATCAGAATGTTCTCTGAGAGACTACTAGTTTCTTAAAAAAAAATAATAAGCAAAAACTCAAAACTTTACTTTGCTAAATACAGAATGATCTAAATAGAGTTGATATATTTAGAAGTTACTACTTTGCACATATTTTGTTTTCAAATATAATGAGGTTTTTTGATGAAGGAACTGGGACCTTTAGAATTAAACATAAGGGTAAGGGGACCCTGACTGGTCCACCGTTTGTGATTTGGTCTTAGGCAGACCAGCGTTCATGTTCTCCCCATTACTTTTAATGTGGAACAGTACTGTATAGTTCAGTGATGGCAAACCTGTGGCACATACGCTGCAGCAGGCCATTTGTATCATTGAAAGTTCAAAAGGTCTGCTATCACTAGTATAGCTTCTTCATGGGCTAGTTGTTTTGAGTGAATGATGTCATGTATATAAACTAAGCATGGTGCCTAATCTATGGGATAATTCAAATAGAAAAATTTTAAAATTCCTTATAATTTAAACATAACTAAAATAATTCTATATGATAAATTGAGATAAGCATTTAAAATAATTTACAGTAAGGAACATTAGTTTATTTTGTATGCCTCGGCAGTTTTCTCAGTATAATTCTATACAGTTCTCATTTTCAGTTTTTTCAATCCCTTCTTTCCTTTAGGAGACAAAGATGGCAGCAAGGTGACCACAGTGGTGGCAACTCCTGGGCAGGGTCCAGACAGGCCACAAGAAGTCAGCTATACAGACACGAAAGTGATTGGAAATGGGTCATTTGGTGTGGTATATCAAGCCAAGCTATGTGATTCGGGAGAACTGGTTGCCATCAAGAAAGTATTGCAAGACAAGAGATTTAAGGTAAAACTTCCGGTATTTCATGTTTTTTGTTGCTTTCTTAATTAAATGATTTTTTTTCAGTTGCTTTTTTTCTTTTGATTTCATCTGTTGTGTTCATTTTTGTTCAGCTAAACTACTTAGTGGCTTTATTTCTAGTTGTATATTTTATAGAAATTAAATATACTGATGATTAATACTTTTGCTGTCACTGCTGTGATACATGTTTGTAAAATTCTATGAAAAGGAAGTTAAAATTTTTAATTCGTTAAAAGTTATCTTTCTCTGCATTGTGGTTTTTGGTGTAAGAGTAACATTGACTGACACGTGCATTTGATAGTTTGCTGTACTTCAATCTGCAATGCAGTACTGTAATTTTTCCCTATAACTCCTTTTTTGCTATCTTCCCTTGTTTCTTTTTCTTTCTACCCCTAGAAACTAGTAATCCCCAAAATTCAATTTTCTCATTTATTTTTATTTCCTTAAGGGATCCAATGCATGCCAACTTTCAGGTCATTCTGTGTTGTGGTTAAATAAGGTATGACCACTGTTCTGAAATAGCACATAATCTAGTTTCTGTCTGCTCTAGAGTATTCTAAAGATATTCTTTTTTTAATTCTAAAATTTTTATTTCCAGTTCTTAACATTTTCCCCAAGCACTAGATTCATTTTGCCACATGCCTACTGGATTTTGATACGTGAACATTTCAGTATTATCTCACATTGGCAGTGCTTCTTATCTAACCCTGACTGACAGTTTTAAACTCCAATAGAAAGCATTCATCTTGGTTTCCAGACATTTGGATTTGCTTTTTCCTTCTAATGGCTTATCACTTCGCATGTCTGAGACTGTTCCATTCCCTCACTTAACATGGCTTATCACTTAACATGTCTGAGACTATTCCCTTCCCTCATTCTTAATATCTAGTCATTGTCAAACTTGGATGATTTTCCTGTTCCCCCTCACTCTTCCGTTGATGTGGCTCTGTATTTTTTACATCCTTAGTCAGACCTTGTCATTAAATGTTCTAACCACTAGTAAGCTTTTACTTTCTTTTGTCTCTTCCTTCCAAACCCTTCTCATACCAGCAGCATAATCCCCCAATTCTGCTTAGTCATGTTGTTCCTTCTTGGGTAATTTGTAAAGAGAGAAGTTTATTTAGTTGACTCTTTTGGAGACTGAAAGTCTGAAAGCATGGTGTAATCTTTGAGGGCCCCTGTGGCTGTGTTACCTCAGGACATAGGACACCATTGCTAAAGCGTGAGCAAGAGGGACACATCAGGTGGTGATACAGGAAGCCAGAGAGTGACTAGGCGAGTTGGTTTGATCTTTTATGTCTCCTGAGAACCAACCAGAGTCCCATGAGAACTGTGTCAGTTCCTTTTTGAGGGCACTGTCCTCAGTGACCTGATTACATCCCACTGAGCCCCACCTCTAAGGGTTCCACACCATCTCCCAACACCATTCAGTACCAAGTTCACACATGAACCTTTAGGGAACACACTCGAATCCTATCCAAACAATAGTAACTTTCCTTCTCCTAGCTAAATGATGTGCATATATAAAGAACCATGTCAAATTCTTGCTTTATGAAATTTCCCATTTATTCCATATTCCAAAGTTCCACATACCTGTGCAAATTTTCCTATTCTAAATTACTTGAGCCCTAATTGTCCTTTCCCTAAGAAATTCCATATTTTTTTTTCATAACAGTATCTCTCATATATTAGGTTTTTCTCCTGGATGCCCCTACACTTGACTTTGAGGGGGTGTTTAGAAGTTAATAGTAATGGTAATAGCAAATACTTACCAAGTTCTTATTATATGGACTTTTTTTAACATGAGAAGTTTTATTTTGTTTATATAATTTCTACTATGAGGTTGATACTATATTATTTGAATAAAGAACCTAAGTATAAAGGGGCTCTAAATTAACTGGTACAGCATCACAGGATTAACAGTTGGATGGGATGGACAGATACTTGAATCCATGCAGACTTCAGAGTTTTACTACATTTTATCATCACTGAATGAAGCCCCTTTACCCTTATCTCTCTCACACAGTATTAAGTCTAAAGTTGATCCCAGTATCTGAGTCTCACTTCCTGCCACTACATTAAATCATACTTTCTCCCTCCTTCTCCAGAAAGAGATTAGATTTGTCTGTTTTTCTGTGGTTACATTATATTTTATTTAGTGGATATACCCTAATTTGATTAATTATTTTGCTGATAGCTGTTGAGGATTTTTTTCTTTCTTTACCAAGCAATGCATATAGTTGCCTTATTGGAATAAATTTCTCTCTGCCTATATACATATTTTGTTTTATTTCCTGACATATTTGAGCACAGCTTAAGTATGATATCCCTGTATTCCTAAATTACTTTAGGGAAGAATGTACATATTTATAATAATCAGTCTTCCTATTGAAAAATGTAGCTCGTTTCATTTAATCAAAATTTTAAATATAGTTTGATAGTTTTATTTATGTAGTCCTTAAACTTTTCTTAATTTATTTGGAGATGTTTAGTAGTATTTCTTGTTCTTGTCAATATTTAAAAATAGTAGTTTCTTTTTATAAGGTTTGATTAAAAAATGGTAATTTTTTTTTTTACTAGCATGAGATTTACTTTATAACTCTTTATCAAGTTAATTATAATAGACACAGATTAACAGTCAGACTAACAGGCCAAAAATGTATAGACAATTACACTGAATCAAGGTGTACTTCTAGATATACTGGCCATGCAGGATTACAATACCATTTTTTCCTATTGTCTTTATTTTGTACTTTATTTATATATTGAGAATTTGATATTTAACCTTGTGTATGATTTAGTTATTTAACATTATGGTCTTAAGGTACACCTTTTTTCTTACAAATTCAGAAGTTCATCCTTCTTTACGGCAGAATGGTACTCCATTGTGTACAAATACCATTCATCTATTGATGGACATACAAGCTGTTTCTAAGATTTACCTATTATGAATTGTGTTGCTATAAACTTGGGTATGTGTGTATCACTCTAACATGATGTCTTTAAATCTTTTGGGACAGTACCTAGGAGAGGAATGCCTACGTCAAAGGGAATTTCTATTTTTTTTTTTTTTTTTAAGAGAATTTTCGTACTGATTTCCATAATAGTTGTATCATTTTACGCCCACCAACAATGAAGAGAAGGATTCCTTTTTTCCCTGCAGCCTTGCTAACATTTGTTATTATTGATTTCTTGGCTATAGCTATCTTTCCTGGAGAATCTCAGTTTGTTTTAATTTGCATTTCTCGAATGGCCAGTGATGTCGAACATTTTTTCATGTTTGAACATTTTTTCATGTTCATTTTCATGTTCATGTCGAACATTTTTTTCATGTTCATTGGCCATTTGTACTTCATCTGAGTATTTGGTATGGGATGTTTTTGTACCATGTAAGAGTATCTTCTTCATCCCCCTATACAACTGAATTTATTGTTCTTTTAGTTTATCTGATTTTGTGTTATGATTACAAAGCCTTTCCTTTATGCTCAAGTTAAACAGAAATGCATCTATATTTTCTTCTAGTAATTGCAAAAAAAAACTTTTTACACTTAGATTCCTGATCTGTTCGGTCCTATGCATGGATGAGTTACTGATCTAATTTTATTCTCCCTAAATCATTACCAAGCGGTCTGAGTACAATTTATTAGAAAGTCTACCTTTGTTGCAGTGATTTGAGACGTTACTATTATGTATTAAATGTCCACATCTACTTGGGTCTGTTTCTTTACCTTCAGGTTTTTGTTTGTTTGTTTGTTTGTTTGTTTTTTTGTTTTTTTTCTGGTACTGGGAATCGAACTCATGACCTCGTGCTTGCCAGGCAGCGCTGTGCCGCTGAGGTAAATCCCCAGCCCCCTGGACCCTCATTTTTGTTGCATGAGGTTGTTTGGACAATTCTCTGAAATACCACAGTTTTAATTACAGATACTTTATGATGTAATCTAACATCTTATAAGATTAACCTGCCTTTGTACCTTTTCCTTTGGAGTTTTCCTATTTTTATTTAAAATTTCCAGAACATTAGAATTTTATTTCTTGATTAGTGGCAGTAGTCCTGTGGCTTGAAACTTCCTATAATTATAGTGATATGTACACAACTACATAGCAAAGTATTTCATTATGAAAAATAAAGAAAACAAACATGAAAGTATATTTTAGAGTTTCAGAAAACTAAAACTATTATATTTCAGATTAGGCATTAAAACTGTTTCTACAAAAACTTGCTAGGCATTTCCCAGATAATAATAGTGAGATTTATTCTTGAAAATGTTGACTATTAAGACAACTTCTTTGAGAGACGACCATGTATGACTTCTTTTTTGATTTCTTTGCTGTGGTTATAGTTTTCAGGTTTTGAGTGTTGATTTTATATTCTGAAAAATGAGTCATATATATCCATATTTTCTGTTACTCTATCTTACTCATTTTCCTTGTGGTATTATTTAAAGATGGAGATCTTTACTTGAATAAATACAATTTGTCATTGCTTTTCATCACTTAAAATGAACAAAATTGCTGTAGATTGTCTCTTGCTGTGTTCATCATCACACTGGACCACAGGTAACAGCTAATGGGCTCCATCTTTCTAAGAAACACCATGCATAGGAATGAGACTTTCACATTATTCATTGTCTTCTGGATCTCTCTGAATTTGATGTTTTCTGCATATAAGGGCAAAAAATTCTTGATTCTGGTCATCACAGGTTCCTAATTATTTTAATGGAATTATAGTAAAAAATGAAACAAATACAGCGATGGTACTTGTAAAAGTTAAAGCAAATTACATCTTGTGCACATATATAATGTCGGTTGTTACGGGTAGAGGTATTGTAAGGCTGTCTGTCAATGATGTGGTAAGATAGTAGCCCCACAACGACAGGAACTCTGAAAGAACTGTTCCAGTAAGGCCACTAACAATACACATTAATACTTTACTAGAAAACTTCAAGTCCAGTATAGTGAAGTAAAAAAAGAAACCTGGCCAAAAG